GAGAATCTTTTCCCAATGGTAATAACACCAAAAGAACGAAATTTGATGGAAAAGGTATGGAATTACGCTCTCGCAAAGTTAGCGACCTCGGCGATATTTACTAATCAGCAATTTTGCCCACTTTGAGCCCTATTTTCAGCTAATTCCATTGTTCCAGTCGACCAAACACAGCTATTTCTTTAGAACTCCATTTTTTTCTATCGATTGAGTACAAGAAACTGCTCATTTATCAATTTCAACTACCCAATAATCGTGGTCAGAAATTTGCAATTTGGCCAATTTCACAAAAATGAAAAAATATGACAATTTCAAAATAGGAACCAGAATGAACAATGCAGACATTCCTGGCGCTAAAATAACATTTTCTTTGTTCATCAGTAATGTCTCCAGGCCCCTCTGATATTACTCTTGCTTTTTATTCTGAATTTTTATTCAAACAAAAAATAGAAGATTTACTGTTATGTAGACTACTGCAATATTGTAATACTTGTATAAACAATGTCAACCCATTCATGACTGTATATTAGAATGGCTACTTGGACATTTATTGGAAAATGACACTTGTTTACTTTTGAACATTGGCAGAAATCAAACATTTCCCCTACTTTGAGCTCCATTTCAAGGTTCTTTTCATAGTAAAACCAATCAAAGTCACCTCTATTTCTATATGCTTTCGATTCTATCAAATGAAACCAAGAAAACGAGAATACAACCATAAATACTATATGAAAACAGACCACAAAGTCGGCATTTTAATTAAAATAAGAAACGGTTTGAGTTTTTTTTCTCAATATGCACTGCATGCTGCAGGATTTTTTTATATGGTGCACACTGACCACACAGACCCATTCTCTCACATGTGGGCCTACCAGCTTCTGCTCGATTTGAAGCCATTAGAATTTATGAGCATATATACGTCAAAAACAGTGGCTCGTAAGACGTATATATACGACCAAAACAGTCAAAAGGCAAACACATCAGCCAATTTCCACCAAGGCAGGGTGGCCCGAAAAAGAAAAACTTTTATCATCATTCACTCCATCACTGTTTTGCCAGAGGGGTGCTTTACACTATAGTTATAAAACAGCAACATTAACACCCCTCCTTCAGAGTATAGACACTATACTTCCCATCTCCAGGACTCGAGTCCAGCCTGCCAGTTTCCCTGAATCCCCTCATAAATGCTACTTTGCTCACACTCCAATAGCATGCCAAGTATTAAAAACCATTTATCTCCATTCACTCCTATCAAATACGCTCATGCACGCTTGCTGGAAGTCCAAGCCCCTCACACACAAAACCTCCTTTACCCCCTCCCTCCAACCCATCCTAGGCCAACCCCTACCCTGCCTTCCCTCCACTACAGATTTATATACTCTCGAAGTCATTCCGTTTTGTTCCATTCTCTCTACATGTCCGAACCACCTCAACAACCCCTCCTCAGCCCTATGGATAATAGTTTTGGTAATCCCACACCTTCTCCTAATTTCTGAACTACGAATTCTCTGCATTATATTCACACCACACATTGCCCTCAGACATGACATCTCCACTGCCTCAAGCCTTCTCCTCACTGCAACATTCATCACCCATGCTTCACACCCATACAAGAGTGTTGGTACAACTATACTCTCATACATTCCCCCTTTTTCCTTCCACGGACAAAGTTCTTTGTCTCCACAGACTCCTAAGTGCACCACTCACCCTTTTCCCCTCATCAATTCTGTGATTCACCTCATCCTTCATAGACCCATCTGCTGACACGTCCACTCCTAAATATCTGAATACATTCACCTCCTCTGTACTCTCTCCCTCCAATCTGATATCCAGTCTTTCGTCACCTAATCTTTTTATCCTCATAACCTTACGCTTTCCTATATTCATTTTTAATTTTCTTCTTTTACATACCCTACCAAATTCATCCACCAACCTCTGCAACTTCAATTCAGAATCTCCCAAAAGCACAGTGTCATCAGCAAAGAGCAACTGTGACAACTCCCACTTTGTGTTTGATTCTTTATCTTTTTACTACACATTTCTTGCCAAGACCCTAGCATTCACTTCTCTTACAACCCCATCTACAAATATATTGAACAACCACAGTGACATCACACATCCTTGTCTAAGGCCTACTTTTACTGGGAAATAATCTCCCTCTCTCCTACATACTCTAACATGAGCCTCACTATCCTTGTAAAAACTCTTCACTGTTTTCAGTAACCTACCTCCTATACCATACACCTGCAACATCTGCCACATTGCCCCCCCCCCCATCCACCTTGTCATACGTCTTTTCTAAATCCATAAATGCCACAAAAACCTCTTTACCCTTATCTAAATACTGTTCACCTCCTTGTTCATCTGCTATCCTACTCTCTGTCTTAGTTTTAATTCTTTCAATAATAACTCTACCATACACTTTACCAGGTATACTTAACCCGTAAACGGTCCAAACGTATATATACGTTTTTTCAACATCTGAAAGTATGTAAAAAAATGTAGATGATCTTTTTTGTTTTACATTTGAAAACGTGTAAAAAACTTTTATCTACATTTTTTTGTTATATTTGAAAATATGTAAAAAAAAGTAGATCTACTTTTGTAGCACTACGAATTTGAACATCGATCTGTTTGGACCGTTTAAGGGTCAACAGATTTATTCCCCTATAATTTTTGCACTCCCTTTTATCCCCTTTGCCTTTATACAAAGGAACTATGCATGCTCTCTGCCAATCCCTAGGTACCTTACCCTCTTCCATACATTTATTAAATAATAGCACCAACCACTCCAAAACTATATCCCCACCTGCTTTTAACATTTCTATTTTTATCCCATCAATCCCAGCTGCCTTACCCCTTCTCATTCTACCCACTGCCTCATGAACTTCCCCCTCACTCACAACTGGCTCTTCCTCACTCCTACAAGACGTTATTCCTCCTTGCCCTATACATGAAATCACAGCTTCCCTATTTCATCAACATTTAACAATTCCTCAAAATACTATTCCCTCCATCTCCCTGATACCTCTAACTCTTCATTTAATAATTCTCCTCTCCTATTTTTAACTGTCTAATCCATTTGTTCCGTAAGCTTCGTCAACTTATTAATCTCACTCCAAAACTTTTTCTTATTTTCAACAAAACTTGTTGTTAACATCTCACCCACTCTCTCATTTGCTCTCTTTTTACATTACTTCACCACTCTCTTAACCTCTCTTTTTCTCTCCATATACTCTTCCCTCCTTTTATCACTTCTACTTTGTAAAAACCTCTCATATGCTAACTTTTTCTTCCTTACTACTCTCTTTACAATATCATTCCGCCAATCGCTCTTGTTTCCTCCAGCACCCACTTTCCTGTAACCACAAACTTCTGCTGAACACACTAACACTACATTCTTAAACCTACCCCATACATCTTTGACCCCATTGCCTATACATGTACTCTCACTAGCCCATCTATCCTCCAATAGTTGTTTATATCTTGCCCTAACTGCCTCCTCTTTTAGTTTATATACCTTCACCTCTCTCTTACTTGCTGCTTCTATTTTCCTTGTATCCCATCTACCTTTTACTCTCACTGTAGTTACAACTAGAAAGTGATCTGATATATTTGTGGCCCCTCTATAAACATGTACATCCTGAAGTCTACTCAACAGTCTTTTATATACCAATACATAGTCCAACAAACTACTGTCATTACGCACTACATCATATCTTGTATACTTATTTATCCTCTTTTTCTTAAAATACGTATTATTTATAACTAAACCCCTTTCTATACAAAGTTCCATCAAAGGGCTTCCATTATCATTTACACCTGGCACCCAAACTTACCTACCACACCCTCTCTAAATGTTTCTCCTACTTTAGCATTTAGGTCCCCTACCACAATTACTCTCTCACTTGGCTCAAAGGTTCCCATACATTCACTTAACATCTCCCAAAATCTCTCTCTCTCCTCTGTTCTCCAGGTGCATACACGCTTATTATGACCCACTTTTCACATCTGACCCTTAGTTTAATCCACACAATCCTTGAATTTCCACTTATATTTCCTCTTCTCCTTCCATAACTGGTCCTTCAACATTATTGCTACCCCCTTCCTTAGCTCTAATTCTCTCAGCTACTTCTGACTTAATCCCATTTATTTTTCCCCACTGAAACTCGCCTACCCCCTTCAGCTTTGTTTCGCTTAGGGCCAGGACATCCAACTTCTTTTCATTCATAACATCAGCAATCATCTCTTTCTTATCATCCGCATTACATCCACGCACATTCAAGCATCCCAGTTTTATAAAGTTTTTCTTCTGATTTTTAGTAAATGTGTACAGGAGAAGGGGTTACTAGCCCATTGCTCCCAACATTTTAGTCGCCTCATATGATCGCATGGTTTATGGAGGAAAGATTCTTTTCCACTTCCCCATGGACAGTAGAGAGAGAAAAAAAACAAACAAGAGCTATTAAGAAAAAGAAGAAAAACCCTAGATGTGTGTATGTATATATATATGCATGTGCTTGCCTGTGTAGTGTGACCTAAGTGTAAGTAATAGTAGCAAGATATACAGTACCTGTTATCCAGCGTGTTTATGAGACAGAGAAGAGACACCAGCAATCCTATCATGTAAAACAGCTTCAGGTTTCTGTTTCACAGTCACCTTGCAGGACTGTAGTACCTCCCTGGGTGGTTGCTGTCTACCAACCTACTACCTATGTGTACTATATGTGCACACATTTTACTTTTTATTGTTTTTAATGCCTAGTTCTATTGCTAACTTAATATATGTTAATGTAAACTTGTTATCTAGCATTTATATGCATTTATAAGTGAAAAAAAGGGCGTTCCACTTTACGGTGATTTCCACTTTATGGCGGTAGCCTGGAACCTAATCTGCCATATAAGTGGGGCCCTACTGTACATGATATTAATAGTCACTAAGAAGCTTCATCACTCTAACAAAGACCTGGCTAAAAATGAAGTAACTAATGTATTTAACATACCTGGATACACAGCCATCCACAACTGTAGACCTAATAAGAAAGGGGGAGGTATTGCAATTTACTATACTCAATATAAGAAAATCATATATATGAGAGATGGCTGTGGAGAAAATATATCTGCTAAGTATATTCCAAAGAATTCTAACACCTTGACAACAAATGTAATAACAGAATCCAAAATATTGTACTAGCATACCTGATTTTTAACAGCACTCAAATCTAATCAACAAAATACAAAATTCATTTACCTGCCAGTGATTCTAACATTGATCTCTTGTATCCTGATGGCCTTCATGTCTCTAACTTCCTAAACAATAAAAGAATGTACTCCTGAACTCTAGAATCTCACGTTTCTACACTGGACCATATCTAGACCTCCACAATAACCCACAACACTTGGGCACAAATACTGTACTCGCCCCAAAAAAAAAAAAAATCATCCAAAACTTAATAAATAAATATTAGCACCACACATTGCTCTTAGAGATGCCTCCAGCCTACTCCTAGCTGTAAAATTTAAAGCCCATGCCTAGCATCTGTATAATAGTCTTGGTACCACTATACTCTGGCCAATCCTCTTTTTCTACCTTCATATAAATTCACTCTCTCCATAGACAACACTCCACCTACCTTTGCATTCATCTATAGCATAGTTCACCTCATATTTCACTGGCCTATCTGATGACATCTCCACTTTCAAATATTGAAATACACTCATTTCCTCTCTACTCCCTCATTCCAATTTGATATCTAGACTTTCATTACCTGAAGGATGTTTTTGGGGATCAATGCCCCCACAACCCAGTCCCAGCCTAGGCCTTCTGATGGATCAAGGCCTGTTACTGCTGGTTGCATTCAGTTTGATGTATGAACCAAAGCCCATCTCATTAGGAACTGATTTGAGGAACTTATCAAGTTCTCTCTTAAAGACAATCTGAGGTTTGTTGGTAATTTCCTGTATTCATGTATTCATTGTGTCCTGGAGGTAGTTTGCACCATCTGTCAAGTAGCATCTTGTTTTAATGAAGTGATTTTTGTTAATAGGCTAGGGACCAGTCCTTCCAGGATTTTCCAGTATATACCATGATGAACCTTTCTTCCCTTCATTTCAAGGAGCACAGTTTATGGGCCTTCAAGCATTCCCAGTAGTAAGGATATTTGACTGACGGTGCACAGGCAGTAAAAGTTTCTTATGTTTTCAAGCTCAGAAATCTCAGCTGCCGAGGACTATTAGTATACAACAGCATTGCAGCTTGGAGTGAACAAGTGACATGAAAAAATATCATCATTAACTCAGCATGTTTACTCTTGAATGTTCCAGTTATCCAGTCTATCATTTTCCTTGCAGTAGCAAAAAGCAACATTGCTGTGATCCTTGAATGTGAGATCTGACATCATCACTCCCAATTCTCTTATATGGAACTTTCACTATTGAATGATTTGAGGGTGTCCTGTACTGCATTTTAGTTTTTATTTCCTCCATTCTGCCAGAGAGAAGCAACTGTAACTTGTCCTCAACGAACATCACTCTGCAATCTAAGGCAAACTGGAAGACTAGATTTATATCTACTTGAAGATTCATTGCATCTTCAATGGATGCCCCTCTCAGAGATTCTGATTTCATCAAGAAAAGGATGCTAATGTCCTTGTCTGTGTTGGATACAAGATTGAGAATCAAAAGTGGGGAGAGTACTGTTCCTTGAGGAACAGAGCCAATACCAATACATATTGCTGATAATTCTACCAACATTATTATAACTGACTGCTGACCTATAGAAAATCCACACACATGGATGACAACCAAGAAACTTGCATTTTATGTACAAAAGATCTACAGATCTACATACTACAGCACTTAAAAAAATAAATACTTATCAGATAGCCTTTAGAATAACACCCAAACAGTGAACTAAGAATTTTTTTTAGGAATACACTATAACTGAAATTTAATGCTGTACTCATATTCAACATTAAAAGTATAGAAAACAGTAATAACAAAATATTGCTAATTAGCAGACCCCAACTCAGCTCTTACAGAAATCCCACATAAAAGACCACCTTAACAGTAAAATACGGATAACTGGAAACTTTTTATTTAGATGCGAAGAAAGGAGATAAGGGTCAGTCTATATGTTAGAGTTATTTATAAGCAATGAGTTTCTTAACCCTTTCAGGGTCGACAGGCCCTCTCCCAAACTTGTTCTCAGGAAAAAAAAAAATCTTATGAAATGATAGAGCATATTTTTGTGAGTATTATAGGCCCCCCAAAAATTTTAGTGATCAATACTTACTGAAATATGAAGGCGTGAAGTTGACACAAAGTGAGCCACTTACAGCAACATCGCCGACTGCCGGTCACGCGGTAATAGTTTATTTTTCCTACATTTTCTTTTATTTTTTAGCATTTTATTTTTTCAAGTAACTTTTATGGCCTGTGAGACCAAAATAAGCCATATTTTGGATATATACACTCGTTGTATACTAAACAATAACTGCACAAACATTGACAGGTGAACATTTTCACCTATTTTATTCACATAATATTGCCTAGAAATATATACATAGTATTCATAGGTCCCAGCAATGTTTTGGTGGGGAAGGGAGTGTGGGTCTGTATGAACAACATGGCTGGCTGGCTGGCTGGCTGGCTGGCAGGCGGCTGGCTGGCTGGCTGACCAGCTGGCTGGCTGATTGGCTCTGTCTCTGTCTCACAGGTAAACATAAATACAAATATACAGTGTAAATTACTTAGGATACACGGAGAATATAATAATAATAATAATAATAATAACTGAAGCATGGTGTAAGTGTGTGTTTCACTAGTCTTATCTCTCCACTAATGACATTGGTGACATTTGATGAGGGTACACTGCCTTCCCTTTATTTTTCACTTTACACATAAACATGTCCGTCTGTCTGTCTGCTAGTCTCTTTTTCTGTCTATCTGTCTGCCTGCCTCTCTTTCTGTCTCTCTGTCTCAGAGAGCCAGTAGTGAACCAACATGTATTCCACTCAATACAGTAGTCACTGCATCACATCTGAATCCTGGTACTTATTATTTGCCAGTCTGGATTTTTTGGGTTATCCTAGGTAATTTACACTATGTATAATTGTATTTATGTATACCTGAGAGAGAGAGAGAGACAGACAGACAGACAGCCACCTGACCAGCCAGCTAGCCACCTGACCAGCCAGCCAGCCACCTGACCAGCCAGCCAGCCAGCCACCTGACCAGCCAGCCAGCCACCTGACCAGTCAGCCAGCCACCTGACCAGTCAGCTATCTGACCAGCCAGCTACCTGACTGGCCATCCAGCCACCTGACCAGCCATCCAGCCAGCCAGCCATGTTGTTTACACAAACCCACCCACCCTCCCTTCCCTACCACCCCCACTTCCTCCCCCCTTACTGCCTTTCCCCACCACCCATACTGCAGGAGAGTTAGGTATTCCTTATGCTTGGCTTGGTGACAAAGACGCACTGAATTACCACTCCCACAATGCAATGCAGGTGCATAGATTTTTTTCCTACTGTGCACACTTACCACATAGACAAATTCTATCACATGTAGGCCTACCAGCCTTTTCCCGCTTGATTTGAAGGAACTAGAATTTGTGTGTACTAGTGTGTCAATAACCCTGGTGTGCACAACGTACTAGTACGTCGGAAACCCTAAAAGGGTTAAAACCAAAAATGATCTAGTTTGAAGTTTTGGTAGAAAGAAATTGAAAAATCAAAGATTGACTATTGTACAATAGTCCCTTTATATCCGTGAAAGATACGTTCCAAGACCTACTGTGGATGCCCGAAACCATAGACAGCAACAAACACTATAAATAAATAATTTTTCATTTACACACATACCCATGATAAAGTTGATTGATAAATTATGCACAATAACACATTACCAACATTAAATAACAATAATAAAATACACTAATAACCCACATAGAAGAGAGAGGAGCTTACGATGATGTTTCAGTCCGACTTGGACCATTTACAAAGTCACACTAACAAAAGGAGAGGAGGGAGTATACATAGGCCACCAGACAAGGACGGGAACAAGAGAGGTAGAAGGAAAGGAGGAAGAGAGGTAGTAGTAGAGGTAATAGTAGAAGTAGTGGAGTCGGTCAAATACAGTGGACCCCCGCTTAACGATCACCTCCAAATGCGACCAATTATGTAAGTGTATTTATGTAAGTGCGTTTGTACGTGTATGTTTGGGGGTCTGAAATGGACTAATCTACTTCACAATATTCCTTATGGGAAAAAATTCGGTCAGTACTGGCACCTGAACATACTACTGGAATGAAAAAAGTTCGTTAACCGGGGGTCCACTGTACTAAAAAAGAGGAGCATTGCAAGGGAGCTAGGGGCCCACACTGGGTAGAAACAAGAACACAGAGGGGGGGAAAATAATAATAATGGACCAAATACCCAAGGCAGAAGAAAGCCCAAAGGAGAGAGGAAAGAGGAAAGGGAAAAAAGAGAGAAGGGGAAAAAAGAATCAGGCTAAGTCACGGGTGTTCTGAAGTTTGGAACATTTTACAATGTAATGGGAAAGGAAGGCATCTCCAGAGACAAAGCCAGGACTAAGAGTCATACAAGGTACCTTGACTTACGAGTTTAATTCGCTCTGTGACTGAGCTCGTAACTCAATTTGCTCGTTTATAAAATCAATTTGCCATTAATCTGTTCCAGCCCCCAAAAAAACCATCCCAATTTCTTGGTTATGGGTGGGTGGGCTACATGGGTTTTTAAATAAGAAAAATGTATAGTAGGGCCCCATTTATACGGCAGGCTAGGTTCCAGGCTACCACTGTAAAGCGGAAATCGCTGTAAAGTGGAACACCCTTTTTTTCCCACTTATAAATGCATATAAATACTAGATAACAAGTTTACACTAACATATATAAAGTCAGCAACAGAACTAGGCATTAAAAACAATAAAAAAGTAAAATACACATATAGTACACTCATTACTTACCTTAAAATATTTGTAGTCTTAATCTAGGGTGAGATGAGTAGTAT